ATACAAGTTTCACTTTTTAAATGGAATTACTGAAATAAATCTACTTTTTCATGATATTCTAATTTTATGACCAGCACCTGTATATATATTGTGAATGGTTCCACAATACCAATTCCAAAACAGTCAGGGTGTTGTGTAAGAGGTAAATAAAATATCTCATAAAATCATATTTTATTGACAGTGGACTTTTTAGCAAACTTACCAAATGCTTAAACTGAGACTTGATAACATTTTGTGGGAAAATTAAGGTGCTTTTAAAAAAAGGTCTTTAGATTTCATAAATTATTATTTTTTATTTCTTTTTTCCACAAAAATCTGCATAACTTTTAACTTTCATATCTTAACATTACCCTCAAAAATCCTAAAATGTCTAGGAAGAGTATACCCAAACTTAATTTGATGCTGTCCTTGAACCTTATGGATGACATGCAAAAGCTTTTTCTGTCTTTAAAAAAAGACAGATTTTTTTTTTATTTCATGAGTCAAAATTATTATAACCATAACTAGTATGTAGCTAATGAATAATTATGTCTCTGGATGGACTATAGATTAACTCAGTTGGTCAAAGGGGATGTCAGTCAAAAGAGGTTGGGCCTCTGCAGTCATTCTGACACTGTGGTATTTTAATATAAAGCATCTAATGTAATCTAACCCCGTTAACGTATTAATATATTTTTTGAGTTTAATATGTTCCATTGTAAATAAAATATTTGTTTATGAGGTTTGAAAATCATTGCATTTTTTTTTATTTACAATTTGCACAATGTCCCCGCAATCTTTTTTCAGAATCAGGGTTCTTTTTGTTTTCAACTGCTGCAGTGTCTCGAAACCTGTGGATATCTAGATAACCATACAGAGACAATGCAACGTGATATTGATGTGTTTACAGACAGCTTTGGAGAAGGGGCTGTTATTGTAGGAATTCAGTTACAAGTAATCTACCATCTCCTGTTTAGTTTCCATTTTGAGCTATCATAAAAAATCAATATAAACGCTTTTTTTGTTTTGTTTAGTTTTTTTTTCATGAAGCCACTACAACAGCTTGAATAAAACTAAACTTTTGTTACACTCTGTAACAAAATGCAATGCAAAGATCAGACATTGTTGGGATCACTGCACACTGTTTTTAATTCATTAAATATGACTGCAAGATTGCATCATTCAAACGTTTAATATAGTGTTGTATTTTTTTCTCTTCCATTTATCATTAGTCTTAAGAGAAATGATGATTGTGCTTCCTGCAAGTTCCTGTCGGAGATACCACTTGAACATAGCAGAGATGCAGCATCATAAAACGACTGTGCTGCAGTTCAAAGTAGCACACGATCGATCTTGCAATCTCAGTCCACCGCCAACAAAAATGACTTGTCACCACCCCCAAAATTTCTATATCTGTGTGTCTGAGGCAAAAATGCCATCTACTATCTTGTGTAGATTAATTTCAGCCGGAGCTTTAGAAAGGTTAAATATAAGGAGACATGGGGGAGTTGACACTGTCTTTTTTTCCTGTGACAAGAATGAGACAAAATGTTAGCTATTATAGTACATGATCCTATTTTACATGGTGAGGTTAGCTCATTATGGTGAGGTTACCTTATTAAAGCAGGATGAGTTATGCAGCTCCAGCCTGCAGCCAGTTACAGTACAGGCTGGAGGCAATGAAATCTGCCAACCAGCACATTTAAAGCGCTTTCATAAACAGATGTTAATTTGCTCTGTATCATATGTGCTAACAAGGCTGAACTTGTGGAAAATAATAAGTGATTAAGCACAAAGTTTGTCAGAGTGATTCTGCATGGTTATGGAACAATAGCTGAGGTGTAACAACCTAGCAAATTTGTTTTCTTTTTCAAAGTTTAATTTGATGTTTGCACTCTGTCATGCATGAACCAGATGGACAATTTTCCAACATAGGAAGTGTAGTAAAACAAACTTATAGAAAATGTTTCGGAGGCCAGCATACCTGGGTCTGCAGGGTATTCCTCAACCAGCTTCCTGTGCGTGAAAGCTTTCTGGTTTCTCTTCTTCAGGATGATGTAAGCTACCACTCCCACGCAGGCCGTGGCTGCCGCCGTCCCAAGAACAGCCAGCCAAGCCACGTTCCTCTTGCTCCTGTACGGGTCTGACTCCAAACCTTTATCAGGAAAATAAACGAGAGGTTAGAGTGGGTGGGAAAGATTTATAAATAATGTGTCAGAAAATAAATGATTTAGATCACCTCCTGTCTTTGGGGGCTAATTGTGAAATAATCATGGCACAAAATGTGTTTTCTGAAAATATGTTTGCAGCAGTGGCACTCTCCACAGATATACACAACCTAATTACTCAGAAGTGCAGAATTTACACTGTGATAATTAATGCAATTAACATGCCAAAATCACGATAATTTCTTGAATACATTTGAATAATCTAAGATGGCATGCTGAGTGCATCATCTAAGTAAGGTTTACAGGGCCTGAGTGCTACTTGGATGGCAGAACTAATTCAATGTATTCATGGATAAATAAAGTGATTTCGTATATGACATTAAAGCACAGAGCTAATTGTAAGCTGCACAACAGTAAAACACACTGCTTTTAGCTTTATAAGGAGACATAAGATGAAAAAGGTGTAGAAGTTAAATGTACTAGAGAATTTGTATTTCCTGTGAAAACGAATCACTGAATTATTTTGCTAAAATGTGCTGAGGACAACTGGAAATATGTTAAATACGGAACTGCCAATGCTCTGAAATTGAACAACTGAAAAAAAGGGGAAGCCAGCATAACAGCAGGAATATGTGAAAAAAATGCTGAATGGAGTTGGGAAAAGCTGAAGAGAGGACAAAAAATCTGAACTGAAAGGAGCCACGAGATGTCCAACTGTGCAGTTTGACATGTTCAAGTTAAAAGAAGCTATTTGATAGAAAGGGTGACCTTTATCCCAATACCTTTGCCCCTCATGCCTTAAAATCCATCTGAAGTGTTGTTTCCCCATGAGATGTCCAACTGAGAAGTTTGGTGTGTGAAAGGGTTATCATTTTAGAGTTTTAACCATGACCTTTGACCCATGTAACCCTCAAATCAACGTGCTGTCAGACAGTTTCCACAGACTGAAGGACAGCTTGTGTTGGCTTTGGTGGCCATCTTGACTTTTTAAATTAACCTTCAGTATGGGTTGGGGAACACTTTCAGCTACTACCACACCAAATTTTAGTGCAAAATGTTAATGAGTTGAAGCTGAAAGAAATCGAAAGGAGCAAAAAATAAATAAAATAAAATAAAAAAAGACAAACTTAGCAAAACAACAAATAGCTAATTAGAGGATAGGGCTGTAAAATTAGTAGAAAAAAGCTAAAACTAACAGTAACAGGTTGTAAACATCAGAAAGAAGCTGAAATGTGTGTAAAAAAACACAAAAAGAACAAAAATAGTGAAAAAAGAAAGTAGAAAAAAAGTGAAATTGTCAGAATAAATCTGAAAAAAGCTAAAGGAAGCTGAAGCTAGCCAAAAAAGACTGAAAAAGTAAAGAAAAAACCATAACATAAGCTGAAATAAGCAGAAAAAGGTCACACTCAGCACAAAAAAATTGATATACAGTATCTTTTAAAAGGGGAAAAAATTTCACAATTTTTTTTTTCAAAAACATCGAAACTCTACAAATACCAAAAGTCATAACAGGAATGGCCTGAAGGAGTTGAGTGATACATGAATTTTTGAAAAAGAACAATAATTGCAGAACAAGTTGTACTACATGCCAAAAAAATAAAAAATATATATAAAATACAAAACAACAATAAATGAATTTCAATAACTTTCACACATTTAATTAAAAACTGTCAATTATTTCTCTCTATATTGAGCTGAGTTCTAAACAATTAGATAATATTCATTTTTGAAATTGACCAGATTCTCCTCAATATTTTTGGACTCAAAAAAATCTTTCATAGATTTGCCCTATAAAAAATACTCAAAATCTATTAATATGTATTATCCATATTGTATTTACCTAAATCCATTTTACCCCTAACATGGGTTGAAGTAAAATAAAGGGTTTTTATGTACCTGTGTTTTCAACTTACTTGTCAGAAGAAAATAAGTTTCTTCCTGTTATTTAGGTCATTTTTGTTTTTTGACTGTGGTAGCACTTGTATTTAGCACCAGTCATTCTACCCTGCTCGCATTTGAGAAAAAAACTCACATCTTTGTGTTACCCCCAAACTAAAAAAAAAAACATCTTTTAGCCTCAGTGTTTCTCTGCAGCTCTTAATATCAGCCTACAACTCCAGAAATAATGATGAAATCATATGAAAATAAATGGTGTGTTTTTTTCACATCATCCAGCCCAACTTTTAAAATAATATCTCTCAGTAGAAACTGACATTTGTGTATCCTGCATGTTTTCTTGCAGAGAAGGTGGGACTTGTCAGCTAGTTAGTGAAAGCAGAATAAAGTTCTAACTTTTTAGGAGTCTTTCTTGCAACATAAAAACAAACAACTGGAGGGAGAGAAGATAATTTAAGGCTTACTCTTTGAAAAACACCAAAAACTTGACAAACCCGACCAGCAGTAAAGCATAAACTACAGCATGACTTTTGACTATTACTCTGAGTATGGCTATATCGATCTGCAGCACATATTGTTTTTCCAGCTTGGAGTATTTGGGCAAAGGAGAATTCATTTGCTTGTAATGCTGTTCGGTCAGAGATAGGGGTCCACATAAGACAATTAAGAACCAGTTTGTTTTGTGAGTTGTCAGTCAGAGTACTGTCCACTCACTAATACAGTATGTTAACAATGTACTTCAATGGTTAATGACTTTAAATTGTGCACAGTTTTGCTTTTGTGCAAGTCGGGTGGAGTTGACTGTCTCATACTATTCTTTTAAAACCTTTAAAATGGACTGTTCCAAAAACATCTGCAGCTTCTTTGTTATGAGGGGTGTGGTGGTTCTTTACAAAACAGAACAGAACAAAACAGAGCAGATGACATCACAAAGCTGCCCATTTTTTTAAACGGAGCACAGTCTGATAGATACAGTATAACCCTTCTTAGTTAGTTCTTATATCTCTAACCTAACACGCATACTTCTAAAGTACTAAACCTCATCAGAAACTGGCTGAAAGTAGAATCAAAGTGCAGCTGAACACAAAAATTACTTTTAATGTGAAATCTGTATGGATAACATTGGATCAGAGAGGAGGTTAACTCCGTTCTCTCAGTTGTGTGGAACTTTTTCACTTAGTAAATGTGAAGATCTTTCCCCTTTTAAAAATATATGCAGCTGCCTGAGGACTTTATTCCTCTAATAACTTATTTTCTTGCCTGCAAGAACGGAAAGAAAATGCTAATATTGCAACTTGGGGAAATAATCAATAGATTAAGATTCAGGTCAGTTTTACAAACTTCCATGAGTTTTGTGCTGTTGATAAAGCTTGACAACTACTTAGATTACTTGTTTTTGTTGTGTTTCTATAGAACATAGATTATTATCTGATGTATTCCCAGAGGTTGAAAAACAGGCAGCCATTCTTAGCTCTATTCTTTCAGTCTAAATTGTGCCATTTTGCACGTTACAATTAAGTTTACCTAACACTTTTAGTCAGAATAAAATAAGTACAACTGTGATGATAAAACTGCAACAGTTGTGCACTGTTAGAAAAAAAAAACAGTATAAAGCATATGAAGATATCAAACCACGCTGTGGATGTTTAATAAAATGAACTGTGAGCGTAAGTTTTAATTCACTGTGAGATCAGACACCCGAGGTGAGTGGGTGTTTTGATCTATTGAGGTCAGAGGAGCCAATGATAAATTGTAAGCTCATATTTAGAAACCCTTCTTTTATCTGCATACAACAGTGGGTGTCTTTGCATGGTTTCTGTGTACATGCTGTGCCTGTCATGATGACTGTGGGGATTTTTTTTTCTTCCTCTTCTGGTTCGCCCACAGTTTCAGAACGGTTTCCTTACTGTTTATTGCCATCATTTGTTATTGTTATGTCTTGCTGTCACATCTGTTCGTGTGATGCAAGTTTTGTTTATCCCAGCCCTACACCAGGCCTTTATGGGGCTTTTCATTGGCAGCGAGCTTACCCGCATGTATTTTTCAGTGGAAGTAGCTTTCTCGAGGAGCTACAGAGGCTAAATTGAATTGGTGATTGATTTGCACAAGTGTGTATAAAAGAGGTCTTTCTTACTCCAATCTCCTCCAAATCTCGAGGTCGACACCAAAAGCTAGTCTCACGCTCCTGAACAGGGGCAGAAGCTTCTTTAACCTCGGTCCCTCGCTGCCTTTTTCCATGACTAAAACAAGGTTTCATTGTCCTGCTGAGAGGACGGCTGTAACAGACCTCTTCTCTCACAGTGGCTCCATCGATAAAACCTGAAACTCAATCCAACCTTTGCCTTTGAAAGAGCGAGCATTTGTCCTTTGCCAGTGGGAAAATAGATGCAGCTAAATGTGGGTCAGGAAAAGGGTGGAAAAGCCCGGTGAGTAAAACATACAACAGTGATAAATGTGCTTATGATCAGGGAGCAAAGTGTTACTTTAAAACCAAGGTGATCCTTGAAGGATTTAAAGCGGGAGTTGTTGTTTTTTTTTTTTTTTTCAAATCTATTTTTGCCGTACACCATTTTTTGAAAGGATAATATATTCTTTAGTGGAGATGTGTGAGGTATTTCCGAATAGTTACTGTCGACCATCAGCACTCTCGCAGTTTTGACTGGTGTTGACACCCACAAAAATGATTTTACAGCAGCGTGATTTACAGCCCCTGTAACATGAAACCCAACACCAACCTATTCTATGTAGTTGTCTGATTTATTTTTTTATTTTACTGTTATTTTACCAGGCAAGTCCCACTGAGATCTCAGATCTCTTTTTCAAGGGAGGCCTGGGCCTGAAGGCAACCTGCATGTTTCGTGGGGTGGGGGAAACCAGAGTACCCAGAGAAAATCCATGCAAGCACGAAAAGAACATGCAAATTCCATACAGAAAGACCCCAGGTCCAAACCGGGGATCGAACCCAGGACCGTCTTGCTGTGGGGCGTCAGTGCTAACCACTGAGCCGTCGTGCTGCCAAATGATGGAAACACGATGGGGTTTAAAAAGCCTCAACGCAGCATTTATTTAAACCGGATCATCATTAATGTGCTGTTTGAGATGGTTGGCTTAGCAATTATTTGTCCCTTGCTTTAAAACAAACCCATGTAATGTTTCCAATCTATTTAAAGGAACAGTACACAAAGTGAATTACTGTATTACCTGACTGCGCACCAGTTCCTCGTTCTGACCCGTCTGCAATGACCCCGCTTCGGTTAGCCACATTAGGTACATTTACCACATCTGTGGTTGTAGCCAGACTTGATTCTGGGATGCCAAAAGGGTTTGTGGTTGTGGTATTGTTTGTCTGTGGTGTTGTGGTATTTGGTCCAGCTGTGCTTAGTGCTGCTGTGGTAGATCCTGTGGCGTTTGGTGCTGCGGATGTTGTGGCTGCTGTGGTGGTAGATCCTGTAGAGTTTGCTCTTTTGTCTGAATCTAGTGTAGTTGTGGGCTGTTTTGTGGTACCATTCTCCGGAGCCAAGGTTGTTGACTCTAATGCGGTGTTGTTGTTCGAGAGATCTCGTGTGCTGGTGGAGTTTTCTGCGGTCATGGTAGAACTGAACTCCTCTTCAGCTTGTGTCATGTTGGTTTGGCTTGAATTTGTGGATTCTGTTGACGCGTTAGCTGGAGGGACGATAGCCTGTGGTAATTCTGCTTGCGTGGTTTCATTTTCAAATGCCGAGTGCAGTGTGTTGTTGGAAATATTCAGATCTTCAGACGTTTCATTTTCCCTTCTAAACTGGTTTGCTACATTCTCCTCTTCTTCAGTGACGTCTGCCATAAATCCGGATGCAAGACCTCCATTGTTGTCACTCCCAGAATCAAACTCGCTTTGTTCAGGATTTCCATTTTCTCCGGTGTTTATGAATGGTTTGCGGAGCCAACTTTTATCAATTGTGCGTCCAGGGAAGTCAGTTGTTGCTTGAAGTGATGCTAAGTGAAGCACTTGAAAAAGCAGAAGGAAGCAGGCTGTGATTTTCAAAGTTTTCATTTTTCCTGTTAGGTTCACTCTGAAACACAAGAAAACAAACAACAAATTTTTGGGGTCATATTAATCATTCTATAAATGAAATTACTGTGTTAAAAAAGTGAGAGCTCAGAAAATCTACCACACTTGTTTCTTAAAAGAAAATTATCATCAGCTTATATAGTCTTAGGTAGTTGAATTTATTTTCTCTTAGCAAAAATCAATGTAGTTGTGTCATTTAAAGTTACATTGTGTGTACTGAAATCACTTTTTGATCCACCAGTGTGGGTCAAATCAAAGGAATCTGAAAACTGCGTAGCTGTAAAGGCCATGCCTGTGTATGACTCTCGTGGGACAGACGAGACCTTGACACTGTCACAAGAAGTGGCTCTTTGCAGTTCAAAGAGGTGTCAAGCAGTGTTGAAACGCTTCTTTGAAGTGTCAAGAGGGAATCTTTTGAAATAGCTACAGAACGAATTAGCAATTATTTTTATGCCTCTTCAACGCCACAGACAATGAGCTTCAGGTTGTCGGCTCGTCCCGCCTTAGTTTGTGAATTTGAAATCTTTGGAAAGCCTTGAAGGCGTTTCTTAAACTTTGGCACAATGTTTACTTGGATTTGAGGACGCTGTCGTTAGAAGCTGGTGACTCAAGGTCACTGTGAGCAGAAAGGAAGTTCTGTAATAAATGAAAAATTGTGTCTTTTTTGTCCTTATTTGATAGAGCAAAATAAATTGTTTTTGGAAAGGTTTTTTTATGTGTCCCTGATATTCCTGTTACACAACAGTTGTTCAACAACATTACTCAGAAGCATTTGGATTTAAATTACAACTGGGCTGGTACGTGCATACAAACACATACTTTCTACTTTTGTTTGTCAGTGTGTCAAATCCTAATACTAGATATTAGCTTTAAGTTGTACGTCTCTCATTTTGCCCCATTGAAATGATAGTTTTCTGCAGATGATCAACACTTTTATCATGATGTCGGTTTGTGATTGTGATAAAGGCACAAGGATGGAGATATCCAGAGTTGCCAAAAATCTTTTTTTTTTCTCAAGGTTCAAACTGACCACTCAAAGACCCACAGTGCAACAAAACATTCTGCTTGCTCCTGTTTTCTGAAAGAAAAAAGAAACAAAACATGCTGTCTGCTTTGATAGTGCAGGTCAACAGCACTGACACCAAGTTATATTGGAAATCCTTGAAGAGCTGATCCTGTCCCACCTCCCGACGATCAAAGATCCTCTCGTTTGATAGTTAACATCTCTGGGATCATGACATACTGAGCTGCAACATCAGGAGTTTGTCTGGGAGTTTCTATGCAATATTGCCTGCAGTGTTCTCCAGATCAAGAAAGTCGTAACACAATCTCTAGAGAGATATGTGACTTATTGACGGGGGTGAATTAACACAAATGCTCTGTGAGCTATGTGTTTTCCCCTGGGCGTAACTCCTACATACAAATGACAGCAGCTCCCTGCAGGGCATGCTTGCTGGGAATCTCTTTGTTGATCAGCTGCTTTGTTCCTTCTCGTGGGCTGTGTGAAAGGCTCTGTGTATAGTATGTGAAAAAGGAGGACATGCAAATCTAGGGATTTTATTTTTAGCGTAACCTGTTATACCTGTCCCAAGCTTTTATTTTGGCTAATGGTACCAGTAACTAGAAACACAATGGGTCTGTTAATATGCAACTGATTGCCTTACCAATCAGCCAGAAATGTTAATGTATGGGCTGTTCCTCAACAAGCTTGTTTGTAATTCACGAGCACTGTAGGCCTGTTTTTCTTTTCCTGTACTTTGAAAAATAAATGAAAAAAAGCTGTGGGTGGTTGCTGGTGCCTGCCTGCTGTGCGAGCGCTGGATCAATCAAAATATTCACATCTGCCTATCATTTAGAAAAATGGTCTACTCCACCGATAAATCCACCTAGGGCAGAAAAAAACTGTTGGTGGTTTACAATCCAGGGGGGGAAGTGTTTTATGTCAGTCTTTCTGAACCAAATGAGCCAAGAATAGTTAAACAGGAAACACAATTAAAAACAACAGCATTTCATGGTGACGCAGAGAGACTTGAAATGGAGCATTTACACTAAGAAACTGGCGATGAAATTGATTCTCGAAAATAAAGTAAAAACCGAGCTACTTTATTTTCTGCCTTTGTCTCTTTGCATTTCTGACGAAACTCTGAAATTAAGCTAAAGATAAAATCACATGGTATTTGCAGATGTGGTTTCTAAATTCCTCACATGAATCGCAGAAGCACGTAGTCTGGTTGTTTAAGTTTAATTCTAATCAAAAAAATTGTTGGGACAGAATTGCTTAAAACTAATCCCAGAGTATTTGAAGACATATTAAAGTCATATGAATGTTGTTGCAGGCATCTCCAACGCACTGAAACTGTTCTATTTATTTATTTATTTATTTATTTATTTATTTATTTATTTATTTTGGTCTAAGAAAAAAATGGCTTCCAAATAAAATTTAATCGCAATGTAGTGATGTCATAACTACAAAACCCCACATTTATCTCAGTATTATTCTGCAGTAACTCACTTGTATTGATTGAAAGAGTAAAAAAAAGTGTTTTAATATAATAAATACAAGTAATTATGAAAAAAGCTCTTGAGCATTAACATCAAGTGTAAACAGCCCAGCCTACCTCAGCTCTGAATATTAATAACAGATCATCTACATGTGCAATATTTCTGAAAGGCATACAAATAAAACATAATCAGATAAATGCATATATGTATATGTCGTGGACTATAAAGGAATGACATTGTAGAAATGCATTGGAAGTCTGAATAATAGCAGGAACCCACTTGGATACCTTTAAAAACTTTATTCTTGTTTCTGAATCCAATCAGCTTCACAGCTGCAGTACAGACAGCCTGTGGCCTTGGCCCGTATAGAAAAACACAACAATCCCTCTCAGCAGCCCAGCTGTCCTAAGCTGATCTAACAGAAAGTCTGCAAAACTAAAGCTTCTACTCATTTCATAATGATTCAACCTTTTAAGCCCTTTTCACCACTTCTGGCTCTTCCTGGTTCCACCCCTGAATGCGGTTAGCAACTTTTACATCAGATGTCAGAACGTCACCAGCTTTTGTTGATGCTAAAGAGAGAACACGCGATCATTCTCCACTACTCAAGGCTGCAATGATCAGAAAATGCAAAAACACCATACTGGATCCAACATTCAGAGGCTCATTTACAAAATGTCCTTCAACATCAAAGCAGTGACCTGACCTAATCACAAGACTTGGTTCTCATACAGAAAGTACTGTCAAATTTAGATTTAAAGACATCATGTGTCTGTTTATGCTGTGCAAGGTGTGTAAATAAACAAGACATAAGAAGTTGCTGTTCGTGTTCTGAATAACTCAATTTATGTGATTTCTCAGAACAGAAGGCACTGACTATCCTATTTCTTTCTAAAAACACAACAGTTTAATCACAGTGGTGTAATCACACTATGAAAAAATGATTGCACATTGATTATGCAGACATTTTAATAAAGATGTTGAACACATTTCAATATTAATATGTAGTATTTGTCAAGTGCGTTTCAAGGGATCATGCAAAATTCACAAGTCTTCTGTTGTTGACATTTTTTAATTAATTTATAAATAAAACGTTTTTGCGCCGCTCTACAGTGATAAACCCCTCTATCAAACTAGAATTAACCTCTCTGGAAGCTAGAAGGGTGTGTTGTGTGAAGCACCTCATTTTGGATTTAAAGAGACAGAGGTGATCTGAGACACACCTCAGAAAAGGGGTGACAGAGGGGCTTGTGGAGCTACAATATGGAGGAATTCAAACCAAAGTGTTGCTGTACCACTTTATATAGATCCCAACTGAATGGTTTAAATGTGAAAAAGGAGGATTTAAAAGAATGATATGTCTCCTTTTAAGAGTAAAAAAATATATACATTTTATACTAAATTTTAAAGTCCATGCGCTTGGAGCAGTGGAAAAATGTAATAGGATCGGACAGTTTCAATGAAGTTTCACCATGAGACTCATTATCCTACTTATTTGCTGTTTAAAATGTTCTTGAATTTGGGCAGCTCTCCCCATTGGGCTAAATTGAGCACATAATATAAAAATACAAATTAAAATAAAGCACCTAATCCATAACAGCTCATTTGTTAATTCCGAGTGACATCAAGAAATAATTATTTTTTACTCATATTTGTATTTATTCAGAACGAATGATGTAAAAAGCATTAAAAAAACGTAAAAGTTTTACTGTAAACTGTTCTTGAAGGCTGATGTGTTTCACTGGATAATCTCTGGCTCGTCTTTCAGATCCATATTAAAATCTCACACACAATGTTCAACACATCTAATAAAGCCTTGAACATAAATATAATGAAAGGTCTTTTGCTTTAGGATTATTATTAGTATGAAATCTTGTGTATTCATCATTCATATGTTTGGATCATTCATATGCCAGAGCTCTGTATTAATATCAGCTGTAATAATTCTGTTCATGACTTCATATATCCATGTGTCATATGTGCTTTTGCATAAATTCTTTTCAGCATGCACTAATATATATCTTTTTTTATTTTCTCATCCCATTTCAGGGTAGAATAAAAGGGTCTGTATGTAAAAACATAATTATTTCATAACGCACTAAATTAAAGGCCTCGCATTCCTTGAAGGATTGCATATTTTGCACTACTAGTTTTAAACTTGTTTTTTGTTAAGTTATTATAAAATTGTAGTCATTATGGTAAAACGCTGAAAATAATTTCCACAAGATTTTGAGGGATATCACACTCAGAGTATGTGTTGACTCCTGACTACAACCACAGACCACAGTTTTAGCTCAATAGCTGTAAAAAAACTGAGTTGCAGACATTTTTCTGTTGGCTCATGTAGAACTGTTACGGTGGTCCTCTTATATTAGAAGATCAGTAATAAATATACATACAGCGATTACTTTCTTTAAGTTTCATTTAATCCAACCTGTGTGTCACAAAATATTTTGCTAACACACAAACAAGTTTGACTTCAAGAGTTTACATACATGT